ATCTACTCACCATGTTGTTACAGAGCGTTGCACCAGAGACCCCTCCCCCGAGCACCGGCCTGCCTGCCTACGCCCTGAGCGCATGCCTGCCTGCCTGCCTACACCCTGAGCACATGCCTGCCTGCCTGCCTACACACTGTCATCTACTCACCACGTTGTTACAGAGCGTTGCACCAGAGACCCCTCCCCCGAGCACCGGCCTGCCTGCCTACACCCCGAGCGCTTGCCTGCCTGCCTGCCTACACCCTGAGTGTGTGCCTGTCTGCCTGCCTACGCCCTGAGCGCATGCCTGCCTGCCTGCCTACACCCTGAGCACATGCCTGCCTGCCTGCCTACACCCTGTCATCTACTCACCACGTTGTTACAGAGCGTTGCACCAGAGACCCCTCCCCCGAGCACCGGCCTGCCTGCCTACGCGCTCTCAGACGAGCCGTTGCCTGGGGCGATGAGGTTCGGCTTCTTGGGTCTCGGCATCATGGGAGCGAACATGGTGCAGAACTTACTGCGCTCCGGTCACAAGGTCGTCGTCTGGAACCGGACCCCGTCAAAGGTAGGGCTGGCGTCTCGCCTCTCTAGGCTACCCTGTTTCAGTTTCTTGCAAGGTGCTGCAATGTGTTAGATGCGCCCAAAATGCAGAAGTTGATAATTTGGTAAAAAAAAACGTTTGACTCCATGATAGCATTCCCCTCTATCAGGTATGTGCTTACCATAAATTAGGCCACACTTTCCCATGCGCTTCCCTTTCAAACTACCCGTATTTTATGAGCCGTCACCATCAGCATTGGTTCGTATGTACTACTGGCGATTCTGCTGAAATTTATAAAACCCATGCGACATCGATTATCAGACGTAAGAGGGTTTCTGGAACGAATACGAAATTTCGATTTACAAATTACGGTACATTCCCTGATGCAATTCAGCAATACAGTGTTTATAAGCGGCGTCTAGTGTAACAGTTACATTCAATCTGCCGTGTTAGTTTCGCGAAAGATACCGAGTCATTAAAACGACTGTATCTTACATTCATTATTTATTATTCAGTTTATTGATGAATTAAAAAAAATCTGTATTTTTTAACTCTGCTAACCTGTATAAACCGTGTGGTGATAATTTATCCTGCTATTTTCCTTTCTGCCATCGTGGGCTGAGGTGTGACGTGTGTGGATGGTTGTACTGGGTTAGGTTCACAGGGGTGCTGCTGCTAGTAGTGGTGGAGCAGTTGTATTGCTCCCTGTGTTTAATTTTAAATTAGAGGAAGATAACTGTAAAAGATGCAGACAGTTGTAAAATTGAATTGTGAATGAGCCATGATGGGTGGTGTGACGGCAATGGTCAGTGGTTTGAAGGGAGTAGGTAGTGGTGGGTGGTGAGAGGTTGGTAGTGAGGGGTGGGTGGTGAGAGGTTGGTAGTGAGTGGTGGGTGGTGAGAGGTTGGTAGTGAGTGGTGGGTGGTGAGAGGTGTAGTGAGTGGTGGTGTTGAGAGGTTTGGTATGAGGGGGTGGTGGTGAGAGGTTGGTAGTGAGGGTGGGGTGGTGAGAGGTTGGTATGGAGTGGTGGTGCTGTAGAGGTTGGTAGTGATGTGGTGGGTGGTGAGAGGTTGTAGGAGTACGGTGGGTGGTGAGGGGTGGTAGTGAGTGGTTGGGTGGTGAAGAGGTTGGTAGTGGAAGTGGTGGGTGGCTGAGAGTTGGTAAGTGAGTGGTGGGTGTAGAGGTTGGTAGTGAGTGGTGGGTGGTGAGAGTTTGGTAGTGAGGTGGTGGGTGTGAGAGGTTGTAGTGAGTGGTGGCGTGAGAAAGGTTGGTAGTGAAAGTGTGGGCCTGTGAGAGGTTGGTAGTAGGGTGGTGTGAGAGGTTGGTAGTGAGGGGTGGGTGGTGAGGGGTGGGTGTGAGAGGTTTAGGTAATGAGGGCGTGGGTTTGAGAGGTTGGCGTAGTAAGTGGTGGGTGGTGAGAGGTTGGTTAGTGAGTGGTGGGTGGTGAGAGTTTGGAGTGAGTGGTGGTGGTGAGAGGTTGGTAGTGAGTGGTGGGTGGTGAGAGGTTGGTAGTGAGTGGTGGTGGTGAAGGTTGGTAGTGGTAGTGGTGGTGGTGAGAGGTTGGTAGTGAGTGTGGGTGGTGAAGCGTTGGTAGTTGAGTGGTGGTTTGTGAGAGGTTGGTAGTGAGGTGGGTGGTGAGAGGTTGGTAGTGAGTGGCTGGTGAGAGGTTGGTAGTGAGGGTGGGGTGTGAGAGGTTGGTAGTGAGGTGGTGGGTGGTGAGAGGTTGGTAGTGAGGTGGGTCGGTGAGAGGTTGGTAGGAGGGGTGGGTGTGAGGAGGTTGGTAGTGAGGGGCTGGGTGGTGAGAGTTGGTAGTGAGGGGTGGGTGTGAGAAGGTTGGTAGTGAGTGGTGGGTGGTGAAGAGTTGGTAGTGAGGAGTGGGTGGTGATGAGGTTGGTAGTGAGGGTGGTTGGTGAGCAGGTTGGTAGTGAGGAGGTGGGTGGGAGAAGGTTGGTAGTGAAGTGTGGGTGGTAGAGAGGTTGGTAGTGAGGGGGTGGGTGGTTGAGAGGTTGGTAGTCGAGTTGGGTGGTGGTGAGAGGGTTGGTAGTGAGGGGTGGGTGGTGGAGGTTGGTAGTGAGTGGTGGTGTGAGAGGTTGTAGTGAGGGGTGGGTCGGTGGATGAGGGTGGGAGGTGAGACAGAGTTGTGTGGGTGGTGAGAGTGGTGGGTGGTGAGAGGTTGGTAGTGAGGGGTGGGTGGTGAGAGGTTGGTAGTGAGTGGTGGGTGGTGAGAGGTTGGTAGTGAGGGGTGGGTGGTGAGAGGGTGGTAGTGAGACAGAGTGGTGGGTGTTGAGAAGTGGATGGTAATTTATCATTTTAGTGTATTCACACATCATCATGGTTTTCATTCACGGTTCGAAGCCAGAGTCACGTATCACGTGATGTGGCTGCATGTGCCATTACATCATCTACAATGTGTGCTAATGCCCGTCTATATATATCTACAGCTTCTCGCAGTGATTGAACCTTGCGAGCACTTGCCCATTCAATCACAGTCAAGAAACCGCAGTTGACATGTGCGAAATAGAAACGTGGGCTGTCTCTATTCATCGTACTATCCTATTTAGATTTATCTATTTTATTATTCAAAGCCGTTGGCATATAAGTTCAGCGACGAACTGATAACGCGTGTGTGACTCAACTAGGGCCGCTATATATATATCTGAAGTAGATAATAGTTCCCTATTATCTACTTCTGATATATATATTTATCAGCTGGTGAATCGAATGGGTTGCTTTTCAATTTTGTACATCTAATAGAGGGCTCCACTGACTTGGCAGGCTGTGTATGTGTAGCTGCATCTATGGCCACGAGTCCATCCATAAACTAGGTGCATTAATTGTTAATTTTCTAGTTTTTAACGATGCAATCATCAGTGCTAATTGTAGGTGATGCGTGTGATCATATTATGGGTATTAAAAATTGTCATTTCTTTCCTGAATTATCACAGTTTGACTTCGTATATGAAGTGCTATGCCTTCCCAATAATATAACGGATGATCACATACGTACTATATTGGGGAAGTTGTTCTTCCCTGCGCGTGTGAATCAATTTGTGGGAGAATTGCCGTCTATTATAGCGAACTTCGTGGTTTGGCGTAGTGTAATATATTTGTTTATTACCCCATAAATTTATAGATGCACAGTCTGTCTATAAACGAATGTAATAATCACGAGGAGGTCAATAGCAACTAAGTGACAAATGCAGTTAGCTGCGATAGCACAGGTTCAGACACAAAAGCAGAGACAGATTCTGTTTCACTAGAATATCACAATAGAATAGATGAGAGGTTACATCGAGAGACCAAACAGCCCGTAATAAGTGAAGAGATAGAGATGTCAAAAGCCGAGTACCATAGCACGTGAAAGGCACAGGGAATGATGAGCAGCCATGTAGCCATAACTCAGTATGCAGTCTTTGTTTGCTAGCGTGCACGGTACACATCGGGTTATTTTCGTACTCGGCCATTGCATTCGCACGCACCCAGCAACTCCTCGGGTTTTGGTTATGCTTCGTGAGTTTATCACACAGTTCAAGTATCAGTGAGCGACTTCTACACGATGTTTTTAGACAGCATACAGTAGGAGAGAGATTACCGATGTTGACTTGTTTTTTTTCCCATACGTGTTTCTTGTGTACGTCTGTTTCAAACCATATTTACAATTTAGACAAGGACGCTATTTCACTTACTGTGTAATTACCATATTTTCTGTTCATTGTCCGCCACCATCCACCCCAAAGGGACGCAAAATAAATGAAAAAGATGATCGTCAGAGAAGATGAATTGCATATGCGACTTGAGTTGCATTCAAACGTCACCATTCAAACATGCAAACAAATATTCTATCTCTAGTCTTACAGCCGTATACCTACAATGAGGTGCTCGCATGAGGTGCTCGCATGTGGAAACTCGGTCAGTTGAAGGAGAAAATGCGACTGTCTGGCATTTTAATGAAGATAATGTAAAAAAAGTGCGTGAACAGTACTGAGATAAGGAATTTCTTAGACTTCAATTTGCTGTCAATAGAGCTTGTACTGAAGGTTGGCATAATCAATAGATAATTAATGTGACTAGTACACAGAAACCATGGTTGTTTAGCTAGTGTATGCTAGAGGACCAGATAGTACCTATTTGAGATTTTTAATATAACGTGAGATATGAGTACTACGTCTTACTAGATACGAGTAGACATGCTAAAGCTATATACTTAGCCAGCTGTACACACATGACGTGCGACTTTATATGCATACTGTGTTACAGCTAACCTGTATACATATAGTATAAATGTTGTTGAGTTTCGGATATTGATAATAAGATCAATATTAGATAAAAGAAGTGGTTGACAAAAAGTGGTTTTGAAGATAAGACTTGGCCTGCGAAAAACAGGTTTAAGATCGACTGTCAAACAACAGTATATTCTGGTAATGCAACGAGCAGGCAGCCAGGCACTTTGTGTAACATAGATATTGTATGATCATTGATATCCCCGGACAATACTGTATACTACTGCATGTGACTTGAATCTCTCTGGGGAAGGTTTTCTCAAGTTAAGGTACATTTATTATAGGTTTTATCGTCACTATAATGATAAATACACCTACCTTAATAGTAAGACCTGTGACTCTGTGTCCGTTATTGTGTGTGCCCGGATATAATGCCCATTGAACCCCATGGTTTCAATTTATATAATCCGTAAAACGAGCAGTATCATATGTAAGTGACAGAAGCACCAAAATGACAGGTTTTTACAAGAATCACAATATAGTGGAGTAGTGGATAGTGACATCCATCTTTCCCAGTGTGATAACGCAAGTAGGCGTGTGTGAGATAGCCGGTAAAGCATACCCGAGTCGACTGATTAAATTTGACCTCAATTTTATTAATGTAATTACACAAACATCTTCAATATACAACAGTAAGAGCAGCCTGCAGTGAAAGTATCTATATGTGCGAACACACCACTTTTCACATCATCAGTTTAGTAAAATAGCAAGACAAAGCCATTTTCCTGAATGCAGTGACAACTTGCAGCACCAGAAAAACAATCGTTCCAAACGTGACAGTTTAAATGCTAGTTATTTCCATGGAAAAATTCCGATGGCTGAAAGAACTACAAACCCTAACCCCAGGTAAGGTAGGAGCTTTTTCAAGCTATGAAACTAAACTAGTATTATTGAAATGCTGTATAATATCCAAACATATCGGATATAAAACACAGCAATAGTGGTAAGGTATAAGAGAAATTTATAATATTCAGTAGTACATGTAAAAACGTGTGCATATAATTGGTATTATTGGAAGATAGTGCGATGTATTAGTATTTATGAAAAATGGTAAAGCAACTGAAATGCACAACAACATAATCATGTTCGTACCTTTGAAGATGCTAGAAAAAAAGAGGAAAGTTTGCTTTGAAAATTCCCACAAGACATTTCAAGCCACGAGTGTGCATCGCCACAAAAGATGGCTTCAGGTATTTTCCCAACAACAATATGAGACTGCGATTCGAAAAACCTGCACTCGCACGACACGCACGAAAAATCACTTTGAGGCGAATTTCCCTACCCTCACCTACATCGTCACGATCTCGTCGTTTCGCCTGAGCCGAGCTTTGTCGACCACTGGTCTCAATTACCGGTGGGAGTCGTCGAGCCGCCACTGTCCGTCGACGGTCTCTCGCTCGACGAGTCACCGCTGCTCTCCCGCGTCGCACCGGCGACCGCATGCACCCTCTCGTCTCCCGACGACTCCCCTGTGGCTTCGCAGACAGGCAGGTGCTCCTCTGATTGTTGGTCGTCGTCGTCGGCGACCGCTTCCTCATCCCTCGCTGCCGCCGCGTCGTCGTCGTCATCGTCGCTGATGTTCTGCAGCGATGCACGAGACTCTGTGTCCTTGATCGTCTGGTACTCCGAGCTCTCGTCGTCACTGCCAGCGCCCCCTCGCTCCTCGTCCTCCTCCAGTATGACGCCGTTGCCATGGCCGGCGTCCATGTTTGGCATCGGCATGCTCGACTCGAAGAACGACTCTAGCGTCACCTCAGAGTCGAAGAGGATCGAGCCGCTCTTGTCGGCCTGCAGCGTCGTCTTGCAGTTGTCGATGTTGAGCGTCTCCATGATCTTGCTGACGTGCTTCTGCTGCACGCGGTACTGCTTGTAGAGCCGGTCGAGCTGCAGCGCGCTGTAGTCGCGCAGACGCTGCACCTGCATGTTGTACGACTCGCGCACGCGGTCGACGTTCTGAGACGCGTAGTCCTTCAGCCGGCCGACCTGCATGTTGTAGTTCTCACAGACACGCGACATCGTGTCGCCGCTGAAGTTGTAGCCACGTATCGTGCGCACGCGCTCGAGCTGGTTGCCGTAGCTGTCGCGCAGGCCCAGCATCTTGGTGTTGTAGTTGTCGCGCAGCTGCCGAAGCTGGGCGTTGTACTGTTCGCGCATGCGCTCCATCTGCTGCTGCTTCTGCATCTCGAGGTTGAGCAGCGTGCAACGTAGCTGCTGCATGCGGCTGCTTCGGGAGCTGCCGACGCACTGCTCGCTCGTCTTCTTGCGCGTGTACATGATGATGAGCGCGACGACGAAGAAGGCGAACGACGAGCAGAAGCCGATGAGCGAGCTGTCGCTGTTCAGCTTCATAAGCACCTCGTAGTCGAGTGCGAGCCGCATGAGCGCCGTGCGGTTGCCGCGCGCGTTGTACGCCGTGCACGTGTAGTGGCCGCCGTCGCTGCGCAGCACGTAGCCAATGTACAGGTTCCCGTTGCTGAGCACGCGCACACGATTCGTGTCCGACACCTCGTTGTATTCTCTGTCGTCGGCGGCGCGAGCGTCGTCGTCGCCAGCGATGACAGTCGCGTTGGGTTGCGCCGCGGGGACGTGGTCATCCGGCGAGGTCGCGTTGAGGACGTACACCTTGAGGCGCGGCGTCTCCCAGAGGACGGACGGCCGCGGGTAGCCGACGGCGGCGCACTCTAGGATGGCGGCGGCGCCGACGCGCACCTTGTTGATCTCCTTGAACGCGTCAATGTTAATGTAATCACAGCTGTTGTCCCGCGCTTGTTCGGAGAGCAGGTCGAGGACGTTGCGCCGTCCGAGCGGAAATTCCGTGACACCGCCGTTGCTTGGCAACACATCGCACGACAGCTTGAAAGAGTCTACGAGCGTGTGGTTGTCCGACTGCAGCCAGTCATGTACCCACTGCAGCTGGCAGCCACACCGCAGCCCCGTTTCACCGAGCCTGAGCCGTAGCAGGCGGTGCAGGTTCGTCATGTCAGGTATTTCGCGGAGGTCGGGGTTGAGCGATAGATCGACGCTGCGCACCGACGTCAGCCACTGGAAGGCGCGCGGGTGAACGTGCTGCAGCTGCGGGTTCTCGACCAGCACGAGCTCCTCCAGGTTGGCTAGCCCCTTGAGCGAGTCGCGTCCGAGCGTCTCCAGCGCCCACATGTTGCGGAGTTCGAGCCGGCGCAGCGACCACGTGCTCGTGAACATGCGCTCGAGCGAGCCGAACACGTTGCCGCTGAGAATCAGCTCGCGTAGGCTCACCATCGGCCAGAAGACGGCGTGCGAGATGGCCGCGAGAGCGTTGCGGCCGAGGTCGAGCCTCTGCACGCTGGACAGCCCCGCGAACCCCTCCTCGTCGATCCTCGTTATCTTGTTTCCGGACAGGTCCAGGTCGCGCAGGCGCGCCTGGTCGGCGAACACGTTGTCGAAGATGTGATTGATCTGATTGTTTGTCAGCGCGAGCGTTTCTAGCGATGCGAGCAGCCCGAACGTGTCCTCGGTGATTCTCGATATTTTGTTTCCGCTCAGATCGAGGCTTTTCAGTTCGGACGCCGCCGAGCTAGATGCGATCTCGAAGGTTCTCAGGTCGTTATTAATAAGATTAAGAGACTTTAGCCTTTTCAGCGGCTGGAATGTATCGGCGGCTATTGTTCGCAGGGGGCCTTCCGTGATCGACACATTCTGAAGGTTTGGCATGGAAAGAAATGAATGGCCATTTATCGAAGTTATGTTGGTCTTTCTAATGTACAGCGCCGTGAAGCGCTCGCCACCTTCCATGTCCGGGACGGCGATGAGGCCCTTGCCATTGCACGTGATTGTGCTTTCGACACAGCTGCAGAGTGCCGGGCATTGTGTTGCGGTGACAGCCACCGATGCTACGACCAGCGTCAGCACCATGAGTAGAGTCACCAGCACTTCCATCGTGCCCTATCGGAAGCTTTTACACCTGGAAAATAAAACAACAATTCGGTTTTAATGTGAAGGTTGACATTCTGTTCTAATTCGAAAAAAAACACCTGCAAAAATACAACGGACTTGTGTATATTGACCTTGGCTTGTGAGATAATGGCATTTGCTTAGATAACACTGGAAATCTTAGCTGGGATATGCAATCTACTATCTAGGCCTTTCACTGTTGTTTGTATTGCTCGAAATTTTCCCCTTCATTTAACGCTAACACAAATTTTAGTCATAACCATAATTATACATGTAGTGAATAGCACAAGTATAATATCAACGCCGGTAGCAGTCCACAAGTTTGGATGAAATCTCTGCATGTAAAAACCTGTCTTGAATTTTTACCATCTACGCAATGCAGTAAGCAGTCTATGTATGCATGCAAACAGCATGCCTAAATCCTAAGTTTCACAGAAACAAGTACACCAAAAAAACGTATCACTTGTGCCGTCTACACTTCTGACTTCAGTATTCACTGTGGCTAACTACTAAACTAGCTGAATGCGACAATTCTGAACTAGTCAATTAGTATGGAGAATACGGGGGAACTCGGTACTAGACCGTACCACCAAATCTCGTGCTTTCAAATATTACGGCCGCAACTGGAAATAAGCGCGTACGATATCAATACTGCTATGGCACTACCACTGCACTAGTAGTAGTACTACGACTTGCACTGCCGTCGTGTCGGAGCTGCCATTGCGCGGTTATATTAAGACGCTCAATGTAATAACGCAGAGCTAATGTCATGCACACTGCTTCCTCATCCCGTAACTTCCAGAAAGTACAATACGGAAGAGTTTCCGAGCCGTTGTTTGAGTTACCTTCACATCTGTCACCGAATACAATCAAAATCGATCGAGTTCTTTTGTCGAGGAAACGACGGGAACACAGCAGCTTGCTCCATGTTTGATTTTACCCATAAACCACTTGGAGAACCGAGGGGGGATTGGGATCTCGGTAGGTAGCTTCCGAAACGAGGAACGAAAGGGGCGCAAACATCGCATACCAGCCAGCGATTAAACCAAAAATATTATATTAAATATTACTCACATGGCTTCGCATTGTAACGCTAGATAATACTACTGAACTACATTATTAGTGTTTCGCTAACAGATAATTTATGACTGCTTTGCAGAATGGCAGCACTAATCTGTTGTAGCGTTGAACGTAGTTTGTACGCAGCTCTATCTCTGGTGGAAGTCTGAAATTGATATTATTATCGAAGATTTTGCACAACTCATTAACGATTGCAGTTTTATCAGCATGGATTTACAGACTGCTGTGCTAATCTAAATATGTATATTTACGTACGTACGTTATGTGTGGGTGCGTGCGTACACGTGTGCGATTGTTCGTTCGTTCGTTTCAAGTAGCTAAATATAACTCATATTTAGCTTATATTTATATATCTGTTATATTTAGCTCCTTGGTTCGTTTGTTCGTGCGTGCGTGCGTGCGTGCGTGCGTGTGTGCGTGCGTACGAACGTAAATATTGGGGTGGTCTCTGGCCCCTGACGCCTGGCATCACAGAGCACATAACCACTAGTGTACATTATTACTCTACGTAGATTAGGTAGACTGCCCCATGAGAGCGGCATTAGGTTGCTGAATCAGTCAATAATACCGTGGCTACTTCAATACTCTGCCTGTAAATCTATAGAGACGATGACTTTGGCACCTTTGTCGAACCAATTAGTAATGCAGCAAGCTCGGCATACCTATTAAAGGAATTTAGGAGCGTAGTCAGTAGTAACACAATAATGAGCAAGCTTTAATGAGCAGTGCTCGTGGCACATTTATTGGCGCTTTATTTATTATTGGGGAAATAGAGGCCCTTTATATAAAGGCAGTAGTGGGAAGGGATGCAGGTGGCATGATTATTCAGCGTGATGCAGTGTTGGCGCAATAATTGCAAACACGGCCGATTTCTGAGAAAAATCTCCGAATGTTTCTGATGCAGCACCTGCCTACATTGATAACAGAATAATTAACATGCGATTTTATACAAGGAAGCTGATGCCTAAAAATTTCTCGCTTTTCAGCCGAGTGCACATCGGATTACACGGTACAGTGACAGCTATGCAGTTTGCGGGGTTTCCAACAAGCACTCCTCAATGCAAATTGTAATCGAGTCACATGTAATAGCGTCAGAAGCACCTGACGTAGTTCAATAGTGCGATCTAATGTACACACATTTCGTGTAGATATGTTATCCGGTAAGGTATTGAGGCGTGTGCTTAATGAAATGTGCTTGCAAATCATTTTTGGAATTTGATCATTGCGATTCAAATTGAAATGTCGCATTGAAGATAACAAAGGCGTGCAGAGTGATTCTGTGCGGTAGTTGCACTTAGATGCACAATGTGTCAGTTCAATCTATTGGTTTTCCTCGTGGCCGGTTTCAAATTGTGGGACGAAGTTGGATTCACCGAAATGATGTTATTGCCGTGAGAATGAAAGGATCTATAAATGCGAGTTTTATGTGACGAAATACGAATCTTACCAGCTGATTATTCCTGGTTCATAAAAAATGTAAATTCATTTAATAAATTAGTAAATAAGATCAAGAAATGAAAATCGGTACCTGGACTTGACACTACATGTAGTTGAGTCAGTTAATCAGTGGGCAGGTGACTTATCCAGAAGCAAAGATATTACATACTGATATTTTGTAATAAAAAAACACCATATTATCGGGAGTTAATAAAGAAAATTGTGTTTTTATTAACTCCTTATATTATTATGTACGTAACAAAGAGAAAATTCTATTAGACGAACTTCATAATTCACAATGGATGCCGAGATCTCAGCAAAATGAGATATTTTTGATGCTAAGGTTTAGCAAAATGAGATGCTCTCGAAGGCTATTAATTTAATCCTACTGCTAATTTAAACATCTAAGGTATTCATATGCGTGCAGTTTCGATTGAAATTATGTAAAATTTTTATCTGCGCTCAGTACCCTGCCTCATTTCATTAAAATCTTCCTCTTATTACATAGCCATTTGTAGCATCTTATAAATTCTCCTCCTCCCTTTCACCCTTCCATATGCCATGGGTTCATGTTTACACCTACAATTGTCCTATTTTCTACAATGACCTTGGTCGCATGCCTGCCGATAGGTAATGTCTTGCAGTTCCCACCTACTCACTATGCTACCAGGAGTAAGGTAATAAGGGAGATTATCCTATAAAATAATCCCTTGTTATCTTATACTCCTGTTATTATTATCTCCCTTGTTATTATTGTGTCAGTGCGCTTGTATAATCAGAAACTAGAGTAATACCCGGCGATATCCGTACGTCGTGGTTCGAAAATATTGTGTGTAACTCGACCGATCCATTAAAAACGTCTTCCGACCGACGTTGATTTTTCGTAATCTCAGGAATATGATCACGCGAGTCTGCGGTAATGCGAAAACGAAAGGTCGTCTTCTCCAGCGTGTACAGCACAGTAAGATGTAATTACGATCGGGATAACAATATGATTGTGTACGTTGTGTACTTAACGCACGAAGCAGAAAATTCAACCGCCAGCAGCAACGAGGGAGGCGACTTTCCACGTCCCGTGGCGCTCTATAGCGCTGGCAAATACGCCGTCCTTTGTTTAAACTGCTCTGCTACAGGGTGGAGTCTACGCTGTCGATAGTGGCCTACTGCTCTACTATAATGGTGCTCGCTGACGATGATGAACAAATTGATTGTGGGGGTGGCGGTGGTGGTGGTGGTGATGATGATGATGCTGATGATGATGATGATGATGATGATGATGATGATGATGATGATGACGATGATGATGATGACGATGATGATGATGATGACTACAACGGCAACGATAACGACGACGATGAGCGAGAGGGGGAGGAGAAGGAGGAAGAGAAAGAAGAGGAGGAGGCAACCCGCACGATGTAACAACTTTCTAATCGTTAGCTCTAGCTAGGTCAGGCATAATTTCCGACGTTTGCTACCGGAGGGTATAATATGTGCGTGTGGTTGTGCGTGCGTGCGCGTGTGTTTGTATATAGGCGCTTGTGATGAATCGCGTGTCCTTGCAATCGGTTGTACAGTGACGGCGACTTTTCGCGGAAGGCATGTTAGCGGATGTCGCTGTCGCTGTATTTCAGACACATTTGGCGCTGATTTCTGTTCTGTCGTTCCGTTGTGTCGGCGTCCATTGATCATAACGTCCACTTCCTTTGCGTTCTCTCGAAGGAACAGTGGCGTTCGTTGCCTTGGTAACGGAGGGAGTTATTACTGAAGTGCTGCTCCAAGCGAGAAGTCGTGTTGCTGTTACTTCTCGTCCGTGGAAAGAAATAGAGTGCTCGCACACTCACTCGAGTTCAGGTCTGTTGCAGTGTTTGAGTGGGGTGAAAATGTACCTCGGGGTCTCGTAATATTCCACGCGAAAAAGTACATCGTTCGAGAAGCACTTGCAAATATTTGCAAACGAAAAGTTTCGTTACGAGTCAAAAAGTTTAGTAGCCTTGAAAGTTACTATAGGTAAGAAATAAGAAAAACAATATTCAGTGATCAATTAGTAATACTCAGTAATTAATAATAAGTTGTAATTAAAATAGTCGCACAGTACTGCCTGGCAACAGCACTGTGACTGCATACTATATGTGACAGATCTCAGGTTCCTCACATCAGGCTCAGATGTATGCGGTCAGCTTTTGCGGCGTTCTTTCGAAGTGCTCGAGTCGAGTAATGACTTTTTCTCGCTCAAAATTCGAATAAGTGCTAGCCCCACATAGCGACGATATCACCTACAAGGGTCGCCGTCACAATTAAGTGCCGATGTTTCGCAGCTGATGTTTTCAGCTCGGTGGTGCGCGTTCATTCTTTCCCGTTTCTTGCGGCGTTATGAAATATTGATGGGTAGACTGTGGTGATGTGCGTGTGTGTGGAGGGGGTGGAGGGAGGGATAGGGAGGGCGCATGTATATCTGCGGGTTGGCGGAGGCTGGCATGATCGATATATAACAACAAAAGATATGCGACGACGACGACGACAATGACGGCGACGAAAGTCTACTGGTTGTCAATGTGCCCAGCATTGCAGAGTACGCATACACCCAAGCTGATGCGTGGCGTGTTGTGGGGGCGGGGTAGTGGTGTGGGCGGAATGTTGTCGTCGTGTGGTAGGGGGTGGCTGGGTGGTGTCGTCGTGTCGTAGGGGGTGGCTGGATGGTGGCGTTGGGGCAGGTTGGGGCGGAGTGTGTCGTGGGGACGGGGTGGTGGTGAGATGGATGCAAATTGGTTGCGAGGTGGGGGCAGGCCAGGGTGGTTGCGAGGTAGGGGCGGCAGTGCTGGTGCGCAGGGGGGAGGCAGGCGTGTGGGCAGGCCAGCGGTGGCGAGGTGGGGAGGCCAGGGTCGTGGCGAGGTGGCGGCAGCGCCAGCGTCGGATGGTGGCGAGATGGGCGCAGGTGTTGGGAGGTGGGGGCGGGCCAGGTGGTGGTGACGACGGCGTGGTGGCGGCCAGGGTGGTGGGAAGGGGGGAGGCAGGGTAGTGCGCGACGGCGGTGGCGGGCAAGTGGTTGGAGGTGGGCGGCCGTGTAGTGGGAGTGGGGGCGGCCAGGGTGGGGTGACGTGAGGGTGGTGTGGAGCCAAGTAGTTGGACGGGCGAGCCAGCGCGTAGTGCGGAGGTCGCGCGCGGCGCCAAGGTGTAACGAGTTTCGGTAGGCGGGCCCCAGGTGGTTGGTTGAGTGGCGGGCGGGCCAGGTTGGGTTGGGAGGTGGGCGCGGGCCAGGGGTGACGACAGACATGGTGGTGGCGGGCGCGAGGATGGTGCGAGGTTGGTCAGGGCCGAGGTAGTGGCGAGGTGCGCGGTCGGTGACGACGTGCGCGTGGCGGGCCAAGGTGTTGGGAGGTGGGGCGGGCCAGGTGTGACGAAGGTCGTGGGCGGCGCAGCGGTGGATTGAGGTGGTGGGGC